GGTCCCCCCGGACTGGTGCTGCCCCCCGAAGTCTCCAGCCAGGGGCGCGGGCCGGATCCTGAGAGCCGTGCCATCGGAGCTGTACCCCCCCAACCTCCAGAATTGGGGCCCTGCGGCCAGGATCGGGCCCCGCCGCCTCTTTGCCGTGTGCCCCCGGCCCCACTGCTGGGGGGTCCGCCCCTGTACCCCCCCTTGATCTCATTAAACGTTGTATTTTATTTTTGGTAAGAGCTCTGGACCGGGGGTCGCTGGGGGGCGGGGGGGCGGACGCCTGAGGTCTCTCCCCCGGAGGCCCCAGGGATCGGGGTCTCCACCCCAGAAGCAGCTGCATCTTCATGCCGGAGCGAACCATTCCCGGAGCGGGGGTGTTCCCCCACGCCCTCCGCTGCTGCCACAGTTGGTTCGCTCCGCTCGGGCGGCTCTTAAAGGGGCCGTGTACCCTAGTGCGGAGTATGCATCCCAAGCCCTCCCCCCCACCTCGCCCCACGCTGCAAGTGGGGGGTGAGGCAGGACGTCTGGGCTCTCAACTCTGATCGGTGCCAGCCCGTGTCTCGGTTTCCCCAGCAGTGCTGGCTAGCTGCGCCCCGTGGTGCTCACGGGGTCGCGGCCCCTTTAAGACCCCGGGGGGGGCGGGGCCTGAGGGTTTTGGCGGGAGCTGCGCTGCTGGTAACGGTGGGGTCCGCGGGGCGCCCCTAGGCCGGTGCGTGCGGGGCTGGATCGGGGCCGTCCATGGCCGGGGGGGGGTGCAGAATCCGGATCGGGGCTCTGCAGTGAGGGGGTTTGGGGGCTGGATCGGGGCCAGGGTCGCCCCAAGGTCGTCCCAAGCCCCCTGGAAGCGGCCCCTGGGGTTGGGGTGGGGGGGCTGATCCCGGCCCCTCTGCCCCCCCCGGCCCTAACACCCCCCCCAGCTAGGACTCCTGGGTGCCCGGCTCTGCAGTCTGTAGCTGACCTTTGACCCCAGGTATCCAGGACCGAGTTAGCTTCGGGGGTGCATTACCCCCCCCCAAATGCAGGGCCAGGCGGTGCCCCCTGCTCCCCCCAGGCTTTGCAGGTGTGGGGGCAGTTGCTTGGCTCTGCCCAGACACCTGGGCTTCCTCCCCTCCAGCCCTGGGAGCGGAGCAGGGGCAGAAAGGGGCCTGGGGTCCCTCTGGGGGGCCTGCAGCCCACATCCCCGGGTCCCTGCATGGTGGGACGGGTGGTCCAATGTGGGGGCTGGGAGCCTGGGTCCCTGGATACATGGCATCAGCAACCTGCCCCATTGGCTCAGAAGGAAGCAGGGTCCATGTTGCTTAGGAACCCCCCCCATTTCCATAGTGACCAGGGAAAAGGGGGTTCTTGGGACAGGGGCATCTGGGGAGCCCCAGGAGAAGCCGCATTTCTGCTGGGAGAGGGGAGGGGTCTCTGATGGGTCATGGGAGGTGGATGTGAAGCCCAGGCGCCTGGGCTCTCCCCGGTTTGGGAGGAGGGATCACAGCGCTGGGCGGGGGGGGGGAGCCGGGCTCAGCCCTGGCAGGGGCTGGACATGGGGTCTCAATGTCTCTGCCCCCCCAGGGCAAAATGAACTGCGAGCTTCTGGCCACATGCAGCGCCCTTGGGTGCCTGGAGGGCGACACCTACCACAAGGAACCCGACTGCCTTGGTAGGGCCCCAATCCGGGGCTGGTGCTGGGGGGGCTGCCCCATCCCTCCACAGGGCTCCAAGCAAGGTGCCGGTGCCCAGGACCCCTGGCTTCCCCCCGTGCCCTGCTGGGTCCTGTGGCGGGGTGGGGGGGTCTCATGCTCTTCCTCCCCCCACCCCACAGAGAGCGTGAAGGACCTGATCCGGTTTCTGCGCCATGAGGACGAGACGCGTGACGTGCGGCAGCAGCTGGGGGCCGCCCAGATCCTGCAGAACGACCTGCTGCCCCTGCTCGTGCAGCATGCCAGTGATGCCCAGCTCTTCGACGCCGTCATCAGGTGCCCCCCCTCCCTAGCATGCGCCGGGGCTTGGATTGTCCCACAACCCCCCCACCCCAAAGCCTAGTGGGGTCCAACCCTGCAGCCCAGGCGGAGACCCCGGCCCTGCCTCCTCTCTGCTCAGGTAATGGGTCCTGGATGCCTGGGTCCCACCTCTGCTGGAAGCAGAGATTCGGGGCCTGGCAATCCCTTGCCCTCACCCCCACCCCGTGACCTCTACCTCTGTGACCTCTGCCCCCCCAGGCTGCTGGTGAACCTGACCCAGCCAGCCCTGCTGTGCTTCGGGAAGGTGCCCAAGGACCCTGGCGAGCGGCACCACTTCCTCCAGGTCACGTCGCACCTGCAGGCCTACAAGGAGGTGAGTCTCGTGGGGTGAGGGTGCATGGGGGGCTCTCTGGGTCCCCCCCCATGACCAGGCTTCCTCCCCCACTGCAGGCATTTGCTAATGAGAAGGTTTTTGGGGTCCTCAGCGAGAAGCTCTATGACCTGCTGCAGCTGGTGAGTCCTGCCCACCCCCCCATCACCTCCCCATAACCTGAGCTGGGGGTGGATCCAGAGGGGCCTGCATGGATCATGCCCTTTGTTCCCAAGGGGGGCCGGGGCAAGGTGGGGTGTCTCTGCCCCCAGCCCCCATGGCTGAGCCCACCTGACACCCCCAGGACTGGGAGCAGCGGCAGGAGGAGGACGCGCTGCTCATCGAGCGCATCCTGCTGCTGGTGCGCAACGTGCTGCATGTCCCAGCCGAGCCCACGGAGGAGAAGGTGTGTGGTGGGGGGGAGCAACTGGAGAGGAGCCTGAGGGGTGGTCTCTGCTCTTGTCGGGGGGGTCTGACTCCATTCTGGAGCTGGTGCCTAGAGCCTGAGGGGCCCTGCCCTGGGTCTGGGGTGCCCTGCCCCCCCCCCACATGCCCTCAGGTCTGTG